AGTGTATTCGTGTTCGGCTCGATTTAAATATTCGTGTTCGTGTTCGGCTCAAAATTGACTCGTTAAAATTAAACTGAAAAAATAGATTTAGAGTGCTGCATTCGAAGCTGAATCAAATGTATGCAAAATAAGGTGCATAACCACATTACCACAAGAACAATTACAATTAAAACTTAGATATAAATATATATAATATATAATTATATAAATAATATGTGTAATATATTTTTATATAAATAATATATAATTTTTTTTTTATTTCGAGCTAAAACGAGCCGAACACGAGCAAACAAAAAGTTGTTCATTGTTCATAATTCAATCTTTAAAAACTTGTTTGTGTTCGGATCGTTTACTTAACGAACGAGCCAAACACGAGCTATTCGCGAACAACGAGCTTTTTTGACAGCCCTATTTCTATGGGGCTATTTTAGTCCCAGATTATAAATATATTAATTTTAGTCCATTTATACCTGATATATATGATTTAAAATAATATCATTTTTAATTTATTTTGGTTCAGATTTAAAGACTCAAGGACTGAATTGTATACACTAAATAGTTATGAATTAAAATTTCCCCCATATTAGTTATTCATGTAATTTTGGGAAAAGTAGATTATATTTTTTATTTGCTTGCTTCAGTGTCTTCCTGTTTTACTGGGGGCTGTGATTATTGCCTTTTTGTTGTTATTCATGGCAACCATGTGATGGTAAGGAAGGTTATAACATGAATTACTTGAAGAAGATATAGAAATTCTCTTGTTTTTTATTGCTTTTAATGAATGTTGATGGTTTACGTTATATTATTTGTAATCACAAATTTAACTGGATTCTTTTCTTGTTGGACTTCATTTTTCAAGTGCATAAATTATGATTTTACATTGCAAGAAGTAGTTGATACTCAAATTGTATGTGATAAAAATTCGTGTGATAGGCTAAATCATTTGCAAAATTGGAAAATATAATTTTGAAATGATTATAGTAAAGGAATGAATGAAATGGCCTTATTGAAAATATGATATTTTATGATAATTTTATGTGGTTTGAATACCTCAAACTAACTTTAAAAATCCAGCCATGCATCTTGTTCATTGAGGGCATGCTAATGCTAATTATTGCTGCTCAATAACTCTCTTATATGTCAATTGATTTTTTTAGCATGTCTAGCATAAAAGAATCTTGAACATAGAAGCTAAGGAGAAAGAAATCAGTGTTAAACCCTAGGGTTTGTTCATGGAAACAATTTTTTTGTCGCTCGATTCAAACTAGGGTTTGTTCATGGAAACAATTTTTTTGTCGCTTTTTTTGTCGCTCGATTCAACCTCGATTCAAAGTCCAATTAATTTAGTCTAATTTTTTGTAAGGTTGGGAAATTCGCATAGGTTTTCTCTTGATTCTTGTGTTATGTGTTTACTATTAAATTAACAGTAAAATAATATTGAAAACCTCAGAGTGGGAGGAGATTGGTTAGGTGGTTATCGTAAAATTTTGTTGGTTTGATAAATGCTCGAATTAAGGAGCTTAGCTAGTTTGATGAACCAGTTTAGGACAATTTGAACGGTGGAAATGATTGATTGCTAATGGCATGCTTTGGATGGTTCTGTGATGCAGAACATCAAGTAGAAAATTATTATGATCTCACTATTTGATCAAGATCAATTATCATGTCAACAAGATCAAGATTAGGGCTAAGCATCCAACACAAAGCTTGAAGAAGTTCGCTCTAGGAAATATTTGAAATTCTGTGCATGATTAAAATTTAATATTCTTCAGATTTGCATTCTAAATTGTAAATCTTTTCTTCGATGTCGGAGAATTGTATTTAGTTACTTCCTTTTGTTTTAGGTTGCTTTGTCCTTTAGAGGCTATTATGGCGGTCTCCTTGAAGGAAGAAGGGAATTGTATTGATTTCACTCCTCTTTCATATTTGATTTATAGGTTTAAATTTCTTCATTTTTTTTTAATTTCAAGTTTCACAATGCGATGTGATGAAAGAGGCTTCTAATATTTCAAACTTCAATAAGAGAGAAGAGAAATACGTGGGTACCACCAAGAAAACAGTACGGTGGGGAACCAACAACCAACACATAATACAAGAGATTTTAATTTCTATTTTTTTCAAAAAACATTAAAATCTTCCTTTCATTCAATAAAGATAATATTTAAATAAATTTCTTTCTCCAAGATCTTTCCCTTGTTTTCTAGTCTCATCCTAAAGGCTTTTCCCACCTCCCACAATAAAAAATATTCTCTTAGTCCCTTGAAAGTATTAAACCCATACCATCACATCCTTGGTCTAATTTATATCTCTTCTTTTCATCACCTTCCACAATCTTTATATCCTAATAAAAAAAATTTAGATCAGATCTTCACACACCCCTTGCATTTTCAAGAATCTCCTGACACCAAAACCTTAGAAAAGACTTTTAGAGCCATGTCCCAATCACATATTTTTAGATTAGTTAAAACAAGGCTTATAATAAGTACCTCAATATAGCCTTAGTGTAGCCTCCACTTAATGATTCTAAACTTGTTGGATCACTTATAAAAAATTTAGATCACATCTAATAACTTTTCTCTAAAGTATTTTAGTAGGATTCATATCCAAAATTTTCCTCACATCTTTGTGATTTTGGGCTAATTTGACCTAAGCTTTGGGCCAACTGTTGGGTAATGTGGAGACTCGGTCCACCACAATTTAATTAGCTTCCTAATTAAGAATCTCACATACCGCTCACCTACCACATCCCACCTTCCACCCACCTACCTCCCACCTACCACTCTCTTAGTTTCTATAAATAGCCTCTTATGGCTTGTAATAAACCAAGTCAAGTCAAACAAAATCAAGTCAAGCAAGTCCAAACCAAGTCCTCTTGAGAGCTAAGAGAAAGAGAGGAAGAGAGAGAGAAGAAGGGAGATAAGAAAATAGAGATTTTCTTGTAAACCTCGAGGCGCTCAACTGGTATTCCTCGAAGAAATAAAATCCTCTGCAGCTCCGTGGACATAGGCAAATTTGTCAAACCACATGAATTTGTGTGTCGCTCTGGTGTTTTTCTGTCTGCAATTTTACTCTTTCCATTTTTTATTTTATTGCTGTCGTTTTTCACAACTGGTATCAGAGTTTGGGTTCAAATCTAAGGAAGAACGATGAACGGAGACGAAGAGATGACATCGGGGATCGAGAAGTTCAATGACACAGATTTTGCTTACTGGAGGATGCAGATAGAAGACTACCTCTATGAGAAGAAAAAGCTTCTTCTTCCATTACTGGGAAAACGACCAAAAAAGAGGGATGAGGCGGAATAGAGTCTGTTGGATCGACAGATTCTGGGGGTTATACGATTAACCCTGTCGAGATCGGTTGCCCGCAACGTCATCAAGGAGAGGACTATTGCAGATCTCATGGCGGTTTTATCAAGTATGCATGAAAAGCCATCGGCGAATAACAAGGTGCATCTGTTAAAAAAGTTATTCAACTTGAAAATGACGGAAGGTGTGTCTGTTGCTCAACACCAAAATGATTTTAACACTATCACAAATCAGTCGTCGTCTGTTGAAATTGATTTCAATGATGAGATATATGCGCTGATATTATTGGTTTCATTGTCAAATAGCTGAGAAGTCGTGAGGATGACAGTTGGTAATTTTACAAGTAAATCTAAACTGAAATATAATGATATTCATGATTTGATTTTGGCTGAGGAGGTGCGCATGAAGGATTCGGCGAGGCATCGTGTTCAAGTTCGGCCCTGAATGTTGATTCCAGAGGGAGATCACATGATAGGAACTTAAACAGAGAAAGATCAAAATCATAGTTTGGTCAGCAGGCAACTTGTTGGAATTGTGGCAAGGCTGGCCACATAAAAATGAACTGCAGGAATCTTAAGAAGAAGAAGAATGATGGTGTTAATGTTGTAACTAAGGAAATACATGATGCATTATTGCTGGCAGTTCACAGTTATGTTGATGACTGAATATTGGATTCAGGGGCTTCCTTACATACATCTTCCCGCCTGGAGTTAATGCGAAATTATGTTGATATTGCACTCTCTAACAAGAGCAAATGGACTTTGCAAATGGTCAGACACGTTCCTGAGTTGAAGAAAAATCACACCTTAATGGACTTTGCAAATGGTCAGACACGTTCTTGAGTTGAAGAAAAATCACACCTCTGTTGGGCAACTCAATAATATTGTTCATTCGGTAGTGTTCTCAGATAGCACCTGGAAGGTTACTAAAGGAACATTATTACTGACTCGGGGTAAGAAAACTGACACATTATATATGACTACAGGTTTACTCAGGCGAGGATACATGAGTCAGAGGTGCATTATGGGGAAGCAGAAAAATGTTAATTTCCTGAAAAGCGGTAGAGCGCCAAAAGCAGGAAAATCGGGCTTTGTATAGACAAATGGTGGAGAACCATAGAGTTATGGAGTAATCTTGCAAGATAAGAATTCGAACAAGTGAAAGATGACCAAGAAGGAGGAGACAGATTCTCTGCCAGGGAATCAGACTTGGGAGTTGACAGAACTTCCACCAAGGAAGAAGACACTGCACAACAAGTGAGTGTACCAGGTGAAAACTGTGTTTAGTGGCAGTAAGAGGTACAAGGCTCGATTTGTTGAAAAGGGCTTTCAGCAGAGGCAAGATATTGCTCATGCAGTGGGAGTTATAAGAAGATACAAGAGTAACCCAGGAAAAAGCTTGGTGGTACAAGGCTACGTTGACGGTGATATGTCAATTGAGGGTGTTACTCGTGAGAAGCTGAAGTCATGCTCGACTTTAGCTGATCTTCTGGCATGAAGACAGGAGTTTTGAGTTGCAGAGGCGGAGAATATCATGTTTAAGGAAAATGTCGGTACAACTAGTAGATGTTGCAGCCAGTAGGTGATGCAATCAGTTTCCTAGTGTCCAAGTGGGGAGAATTGTTGGGTAATGTGGAGACCCGGTCCACCGAGATTTAATTAGCTTCTTAATTAAGAATCCCACCTCCCACTCACCTACCTTCCCACCTACCGCTCACCTACCTCCCATCTATCGTTCTCTTGGTTTCTATAAATAGTCTCTTATGGCTTGTCATAAGCCATGTCAATGGCCAAGCCATGCAAGGCCAAGCCAAGTCCTCTTGAGCGCTAAGAGAAAGAGGGGAAACTACCGCTCACCTATCACATCTCCCCTCCCGCTCACCTACGTCACACCTATCACTCTTCTAGTTTCTATAAATAGCCTCTTATGACTTGTTATAAATCAAGCCAAGCCAAGTAAAGCCGAGTCAAGCAAAGCCAAGCCAAGTCCTCTTGAGAGCTAAGAGAAAGAGAGGAAGAGAGAGAGAGAGAGAGGAAGGGAGAGAAGAAAATAGAGATTTTCTTGTAAACGTTGAGACGTTTGACGTTGTAATTCCTCGAAGAGATAAAATTCTTTGTAGCTCCGTGGACGTAGGTAAGTTTGTCAAACCACGTAAATCTGTGTGTCGCTCTGGTGTTTTTCTGAGTGTAATTTTATTCGTTTCATTTTCTGCTTTATTGCCATCGTTTTTCACAACACCAACCTCTTCTCTTTAGCCAACACCCCACATAAATTTTCGTCAATCACTTAGGGGTGTTGATCACACCCTTCGTCACCTATCATAGTTATTAAAAGTCTTAGATTCACTCCTCCAAGGTTAATTCATCATGATAATACTCTTATGTTTGATGTACTTCTAAAGATGATGAGGAAGGTGATGTCAATGTGTTGGAGGTAAGTCGAGTAGGAATGTGCTTAAACCAACTTGGACCATGATAAAATTGGCCAATATGAATCGATTTATGCTAAGTCTTAAAAGAAGGGTGTGATGTTACATGCTCGTATTATAACTCCCTTTATATTCCTTTTATTTTGTTAATGAGAGGAATTTATTGTAGTGTGGGCAATATATGAGACATGGAGGAGGTTATGTGCGAAGTGTTAAATTTTTATTAATTGCCTTGGATAAGATTTAGTTTTTAATTTTCAGTATTTTAATAAAATTTTGTTTTTATGTTACAATATTGGTGAATACCAAATTAATATTTCTTTACACTTAAATTTCAAAGATAATGGCTAAATAACTTATGATTAAGTCTGTTACACTTGTTTCTTATCTGATGGCTGCTAAACTAAAGCTGTATTAAATTCGTACTTATTACCTATCATATTTAAGCACTATATAAAAAGATATTTGGATTGTGTTGAAGCATTCCATAATAAGAAGCAACTAATAGAGTAGATGAAGAGTAAGAGAGTAGACAGAGGTGTCATTTGAATGGGTTAAATATGTCATTTAAGATTAAGGAATATTGATGTGATAATAATGAAGATCAATTTTTGTGCTATATGTTCCTTTCCTTTCCTCATTTAAGCAGTCTTGAGAGATCATGTTATTTGGTAAAGATATAGTAGGTTTAATGGATGTTAATAATTTATCTTTTTCAAATGGAATGAATTCTAATCTTGAAATAAATGATAAACCAAGTGAAAGTTTGATGTAATTTAGAGGGAGACCTTGTGAACGAAAGTTCTCTTCTAATTATGATATGAGTAATTCTTAAAATATATTCAAAAAGATTATTTTCTTTTATTATAATGAGAAAATACATAAATATAATTTTTTTATTTTGAGAAAGGAAAGCATAAATTATATGCCACCATAAAAATTACAAGTCATTTGATGTAAGTATTGTTATGGACATGATTTCTAAGCTTGAAATAATTGATAAACCAACTGAAAGGTTGTTGCAATTTAAAAGGAGATTTTGCGAACGGATATTCTCTTCTAATCATGAAATGGGTAAATCTTAAAATATATACAAAAAATTATTTTCTTTTATTATAATGAAAAATACATTAATGTACTTTTTTTTTATTATTTTGAAAAAGGAAAGCAAGATATATATGCCACCATAAAAATCATGTCATTTGATGATAGTATTGTTATTTGGTGATGCTCTTTTATTGATTGAAATACAACTGAGATGATTGTATTTTTTTATAATTCAATTATTTTAATAGCTATGGAATTAGTGATGTTATTTTATTGTTATAATTTAGATATATTTTCACATATTAGACAACTTATTGTATGTGTTCGTGTGGGAAGTAGGGATTATAATGACTCTATGTTGCAGCATACATTGTCACTATTACTGTATTGGATTCATTAACTATCGTGGTAGCTCGTAGAAATAAAAATGATATTAAATATATGACATTAAGTATTAGAAAAGTGGGAGCAATTATGAAAACTATTCCTAATGATTTTGGAAGTCATACAAAATAGAGTTTCTATCAAGTAGGAGGTCTTAAAAGGTAGTGCTGTGTGTGCGGAGCCTAATTGAGCTTGGGGAAGTGCCCTGCAGTAGAATCCAACAACCAAGGGGGGCGCCCTTCTGCCCGGCGAAGGGCAGCCATGTGCCATTGGGAGTGCCTCAGCACCCAAGCGAATGCTTTAGCCCAGCGATGGATTCTTCTCTAGATAGAGCGATTAAACATTCTGTGCCCATTCAATTGCATAACGATATGTTCGTTTCCAGGTTTAGAAATGAAGACACCAGTGCAAAGGACTGGCAATCCAACACCTAGAAGGATGACTCCAGATAGAGCGCGTGGAATGGAAGCACCAAGGAATGGTTTTTCTTCTAATCGGGATTTAAGTCATTGCTTCTATTTGAGGAAGGTATCTCTCGACAATGCGTGTAACAAGAGCGGGACATAGCAAGTAGTGTAGCGAGTTATGTTGGATTTCTATAGTTTACTGCATGTGCAATCGAGAGAGGAGCGTTTGTGAGTTCCAGGCTTGCAAGCTGTGTTCTTTTATTTCATTAAGAATGAAAAAGTGGTGTTATTTTTTATTTTGCTAAGAGAAGAATACTCTTGGCTATCGTAAGTAATAGTTATTATTTGGAGTCCTGCAATTGAGAAGTGAAGGGCATATTTTGAGAAAATATATCTTCTCTGCGTATAGCCCTTATTTTTGTACCAAGTGATTACATTTTCTCTCAATTAGAATACTAAGCGAATTCTTTGCACGTTTCTAGATTTATATGAAGTATAATTCTTCTTATATCTCTTTTAAAGTCTAATAGTTTATTTACTTGCGTATAGTTGTGGACGAAGGCTTATTTAAGCCTAATGATATAAATTTTAGTGTTTTCTTTTGTGGCGCTTGTTCCTTTTCGCCGTTAATTTTTAGATTCATTGTACTTGTCTATCAATTGAGGGAGAAAATATTATATCACGTCTCCGAATGCATTTGGAGTTCAATGGGGGGGCGCCATGTGTTAAGCTTTTTAACACTGGCAATGTCAGTGTATTGCGGTGGGGCCAACTTGACACGTGTCACCCCACCATTGGATTCCAAACACAAATTACGTTCGGAGTCCTGAAGGGCACTCTTTCGCCTAAACATACGAGCCCAGGGGATGATCTCTACTTAAATTCTGTTCTCTCTCTTTCATCCCAACGAAATCTCTAACCGTTCCTGAATTTATTTTTCTCCTTGCAGTCCAGCCCGCAGCATTCCAGAGCTGCAGATGAAGCGGCAAAGCCTCAATTTTGTTTGCCAGATTTAAACGAGCCTGCAATGGCTACATGAGAGATTAAAGCTCTCTAATCTCAATACCATAATCTGCTGGCAAACTGAAGTGTACGACCCCTTCGGTTGCAGG